GATCAGCTTTGTATGTCTATATCTGTTTTTATGAGAAACTACTTTGAAGATATCAATATGTAATACAATAAGCATTGTTAATTCCCTACCACTCTGTTTGTAACTCTGTAATGTCTGTACTGATCCTTTGCTATTTTGTAAAATGTTGTCTGTCTGTTAGTATTTTCCTCCTTTTATTTCTAAAATAAAAAAAGATCAATTCAGTATATACTCTAAACCTAAAAAAAGAAATTCCTATTACCTTTTGAATCTTTCTAAGCCAGAATAGTAAACCTCCCCCAATCATTTGGACAGACATAGCTATCCAAACAAAGATCTAGAGACTGGCCTCATGCACCTGCTATGCATCAGTCTCCACCCTAAGTGAATGCAGACCACCCCCCACCCCCATTCCACCCCACCCTCCCACCCCCGCTCTGCTGAGCTGTGGCCAAACAAGGGGCGTCAGGGGATTTTGCAATCTAAGAGTAGTAAAGCATCTGACAAAGAACAGGCTTCAGTGTGTGCCCAGTACTTCTTCCAAAATATCTCTGATCTGTGCCACAGAACTCTGACCAGGACCACGGCCAATGAACTATGACCAAATTTGACAGCCTTATCTGATAAACTCCAGGGACAGTTTTGTTTACCCATTTCTTTTAGTATGAGACCAAAAAAGAAAAGAAAAGAAAAAAGGCCATTTTGCCTAAGTCTGAAGCTTACAATGAAGAGAGTTGAGGAAAAGATATAATTTATTCCAATTTCTTGCTTCTTCTCTGAATAAAAGAGATGTATGGCCCTGGATTGTCTGAATTATACCTTAGGGGACTTCGTAGTACTTGCTCACAGCAGATACACAGCCTTTATATGAAGCTAGATACCATCTTTCAAAACTTCAGTTTTAATTAGGCATTTTAATTTACCATATACCTAATAGGGAAAACAAGTTACTAAAAATATTAACATTAAATTGTATTAAATTGCTTTCCTAGGATCATGCTAGTGTTGGGCTGAGTGAATGACAAAATTATCAAGCAATAAATAGACTAATAAGCACATTTTTCTTTAAAATATAGGTTCCACTTTATTGTATCACAGCTAATAACTACTATTTAAACACTCAGGGTACTTATAAGGTCTCATGAAAATATCTTAGCTATTTTAAGATAACATATTATATTATGGCAAGGAAATAAATATAATTTGAATGGCAAAGATACTTCTGAGAACTTAGGTAAAGGTGATTTTCCACAAAATCTCAATGGACCAGAAAGGATAATTAAATTTTCTGGGCATCTATCTTGCTCCCTGAGCAGAATATTCCTAATAAGTATTCTTGCCTCAGAATCTACCAGGCAAAAGGTGCAGAGTATTTGCTGCCTGGCCCAAGGGTCTTCCTCCTCCAGCACTGCATCCACGAGTGATCCAGGAAACAGAGGCGCCAAGCGTCATCCCAGACCCACAGGACGAAGACCAGCTGGGTGATGTCTTTACTGAGCCTCTGAGATGACTTCACCTGGCTGCCTCCACCTTTTTCTCCTCAAAGGGGAGCACAAGGGTTTCCAGCAAGCACAGGGCACCAGTAGGGTGTGGGACCTGTTGGCTGAGGTTTACAGATTTCCCTGAAATTCTTTGTTTCGCTTGAGGAAGTAAAACCAGGCCTAAGATCCTCTCTGGCCCATTAGATGGTTTTCAAGGGGCTTGGAAGTTTCTCTGGATATCTTAGGAATAGCCTTGGTCTCACCTCTATATTAATATAATCTGCTAAAATGTTATCTGAAAAATGAGCTACAATTAAGTAAACCTGATCACTATTACAATGATAGAGTTGGGAATCTGAATCCCTATTCTGTAACTGACTGAGACCTCAGACAGCCACTATGCTCCAGCTCACAACTTCCCATTGGGGATAGGGGAGGGGGCCTCATTACCTCAGTGGTTTAAAGGCTGTTTTACTGGACCCTGAGAGCTGGCCCAGAAGCCCAAGTAGGCAGACCCATCTCCCTGTCCCTACTTCCAACAGGGCGTCTTCCTTCCTTTTTGTGTATTGAAGTTCTGTGTGAGATATCATTTTATTGCATTGGTTTTTAAATTATGGTAAATGCAAAATCACATCATCAATCATCAGTTTTTTTCTGACTCTGACATTATGCCCAACCACAAGGCAACATGTGCTGGGGAACTTCTTCTATAAATGAATTAGAAAATGTTGTATTCCTAATAGAAAGATCAATTAACTTGTAATTACGGCTTCATTCATTCATATACTCATTCATTCAGCCCCTCATTCACTTACTTTACAAAAACACACTGATGCCTCACTATATCACCAGACAGTACATTAATTATAGGGACAGAATAGTGTACAAAAGAGAGATTGTCTCTAGCTTTCTGTAGCATCCAAGTTCATGGGAGAAGCAGACATTAATTAAATGATCACACAAATATCCTATTACAAATGAGACAAACCTGTCAGGAACCGTGAAAACTTGTAATAGCTTGTCATGGATAGAGTCTGGGGATCCGGGAAGCCCTCTCCACATTGGAGCAAATGAATTCCATTTGCTTTGACTCCAAAGCACCTGGGTAAGATGAACCCAATTCCCACTCCTGCCTGAATTATATGTCACAATAGACCTAAGCCCAAGGTGTTACTCAGAACAGAAGAAGGAAAATCTTGAGTAGGCAGGGAATAGAAAATTTTAGTCTAACTGAATACCATATTCTTAACTAGAGTCTTACTGAAAATAGACTCGTGTAGGGAGGAGGACACACAGGCACAAGAGTGGGAGGCTGGGCACAGCCACAGGCTGGGGTTCAAATCAAACACAAAACAACTCCACATGCAGCAGGCTGACGGAAGCACAGGGCTGGCAGGGGAGGAAATCCCGAGGGCAGGCCAACCCCAGGCACCTGCGCCATGGACCATCAGACTCAGTCCCAGACTCCATACCACACCTTCGGAAGTACACACCTTGTTCTCCCTGTAGAGAAGCTCGAGATGCAAAACCTTTCGGAGGTCATTTCTGCTGTTTATGCTGAGGTCAGAGCGCGGGCGTTCCTGGTCCATGGTCACACATGTCTTCTTTAGGCCCTGAGGGAAGATATCTGAGTCACTGTTTTTCTTTTTAAATCAAAACCATCTGTCCTCTGACGCAGGGTAAACAAGAGATAACCAATGTTTTTCATTATGATCATTCTCAAATGCTGACTTAAGAATTCATTTTTAGTTACACCTTCCACTTGACGCCACCTTCACAATTATTCTGAATTTTACAACAGCCATGTGGGGTCAGCTAAGGCTAGATTTGTCAGCCTTTTGTATAAGTAAGGAGTAAAATCTAGGTAACCTACACACGCAGAACCAATTCTGAGGCCTGGAGTTTGGCCCTAGAGTTGGAGCCATGGAGTATGAAGCTTAAAAATAAACAAAAGTAAAAAAAAGGCCAATATTTATTCCCTTCATTTCCCAAATGGATAAATCAAGAGACAAGGCGTGTTTGCCCACAGTTACACAGGGGAATCACACAACTGGGGGTTCCAACCGCCACAACCTGTGAATCTGTGATTCTGTGATCCTCCCCATGGGGAGCCCTTGGTAAATGTGTAGTGTGAGTCACCAGTAAAGCCACTGTCCCTCATCCCACCCTGGCCCAAAGACTGAGGTCCTGACATTGGCAAACTGGGACAGTACTATCCTCTCCCAATTGCCTGGCTCCTACTTGGAAAAACAACCCCAGCGGCTGCCGCCTGTACCCTCGGGGTCCTCAAATGTCTGCAGCATGAGAAAATGCCTCACCAACCACTCATCCTGTGTCAAGGGTTTTCCTCATTCCAGACGGATCCCAGACTCTCAGTACTAGACAGGGCTTGACTTCTCCCATAGCCTTTGTGTTCAAAACCTCGTAGAGACGCTAGCTGCTGGAAAAACAAGACCAAACCTGCTACCTGCTATGAATTGAGGTAAGAAGGCTCCTCTGGGAAACAAGAACTCTGCACACAGCCTTGAACCAAACAGTATGAAAAGTGGGTCTTAGGGGAAAGGCACAGAAAGAAATGGATGTGTGTGTTGGGGAAAGGTGGATGAGGGTATGTTGGGCAGAGTCAACTGGAAGGAGAGGTTGGACCCAAAAGCAACACCTGTGGTTCCTGTGGGCTTAACCACAGCCTTCCCACTGATCAAAGGGGTATGGAACATTCTATAAGGAAGGACCCTCCCTCTCTGGTAGATATCCCTATGTTCATCAGGTGTTCCAGTCACCAAGTATTGGTACATCAAACACCCCCCACCCCATTGTCAAGGATACCAGCACCGGAGAGGGTTACAAGGATGTTCTCATAAGTCAACCAGCGCTGGGCCCCATCCAGACTGCTCAGTCTTCACTCAGAAACGTTTGCCCTGTGCCTGCCATGTCCAGGCTCTGTTGTAGATGTAAGGGATGCAGAAAGAATAAGAGCTAACATTTTTTGGGGAATCAAGCATAAGTCAGGGGTAAGCATATAGTCTTGTAACTGCTAATATGCACTACCATGGCATCAATACAAGGAAAGCAAGTACAAAGACGGGGGTCACTATCTTAGATAAACAGCTATTTGTTTGGCACCATCCAGGTCTTCTGGTTTCCCTATTTGTGAGCTGAAGGGCATGAACCACACTCATGTACCAGTCCAGCTGCCAGAAGCAGAGGAGTGAACACATCTAAGTCCCGTTCTCCTACAGCTTCCATGCTATGGGGGAAAGATAACAAATCTAATATGCTGGGTGGAAGATATAGTAGAGTAGGAAAATATAGGCAGGGAGTGGCTCAGTTGTCTCTTGTTTACCCTGCATCAGAGGACAGAGAGTTTGGATTTAAAGAGGAGGTATGGGGAAGGGATGCTGTTTTATGAAAAGTGGTCAGGAAAGGTTTCATTGATTGAGTGACTGTAAGCAGAGATATGAAGGCGATGAGGGAGCAACCCAGACACTTTGGGAGAGTAGTGTTGCAGGCAAGGAACAGCAAGTGCAAAAGCCCTGCGGCAATTGTAAGAGCCAGTGCATCTAGAGCCTCCTGGCCAGAGGACAGATGGAGGAGATAATGTCAGAGAGGTCACCCAGAGCCTGAGAAGGAAAAAGCAGGAGGGCTTTGGGGAAATGGGAAGGACCACAGGAGGATTTGAGGAGTGTGAAGGACTAACATATGTTTAAAGGATCATTTGGCTGCTAGGTTGAAAACAGAACATAGGAGGTGGGTGATTAGGCAAAAACCACTTCACATTCCACACAAAAGACGAGGGTGGCATGGACCAGGGCAGAGGTGGTAAGAAGTGGCTGCTTTCTCTACGTGCTCTGGTGGCAAAGCCAACAGACTGGCTGATGGGCTGAATATAGATGCATAAGGAAAAGAGCCCCTAACCTGTAGGGTCTGCACTGACTCCAGGTAACGTCACAATTGAGTTGGATTGTAGGACACTCAGTTCATGTGCAAAGTGTTGGAGACCTGGTTGGTATGGGGTGGGATGAGGGGGTGCACATTTGGTGCCAGAAATATTGAGCAGAGTCACTATCAGAGAGGTTGAGAAGCTAATTAGACATCCATGTGGAATATAGCACACTCAGTTAGAAAGAGTTCGATTCAGGGCAAGATAAACATTTCAAGATTGTCTGCAGATAGGTGGAACCCATAAAACTGGCTGAGATGCCTAAAGAACAAATGGAAAGTAGAAGGGAAAATGGCCGTATACTGAGTTTCTGAGCCCACCAGCATCCACAGCACAGATCAGGGAAGGAGGGGAGACAAAGACCCTGACAAGGAGCCACCAGAGAAGGCAAAGGAGAGCCAGAAGCAGATGTCACCTGGGAGCCAAGAAAAAGAACATAAGCAACTGTGACAAACACAATTCTCAGATCAAGCAAAGCAACGAGTGTAAATTAGAGATCAATGGTGACTTTGATAAGAGTGGTCTCCCTGGACTATAGGGACAAAAGCCTAATTAAAACGAGTCTGAGAAAGTTGGAGGCAGAGGTGGAATCAGAATATGCACAGCTCTTTCATGGGGTTTGGCTATAAAAGGGAAAAGTAAAGACTCATAGCCATCGGTCTTAGGGGTCAAACTGGGGTGCTGTGGGAGCTCATATGTGGGCTGGTAAGAATATCCCAGTGAAAAGGGGACCATCCAGACACAGAAGCATGATGTGTCCCTAAACAGCAATGAGGGGCCAGGCTGCATGACCCAAGCACAGGGGATTCGTTCTCAGAAATACAAGCAGGATGGAGTGACTGGCTTGGGCCCAGGAAGGTTTATACATGTGTGGGTGGGAGCCTGTTGGACTTTCCTCATTTCTCATGACTACTTCTGCTTTCTCAGTGAGCTCCGATGGGGAAGGATCTTTGGGATGGGGTGAGACAAGGTGTGAGATGGGCACCCAGGATTTGAGAGAGTGATCAGCAAGGACAGGGTAACCAGGTGCACATGGACTTAAAGTGATGCCATCAGCTTGGTAGTTGAGTTCTGCATTCTCATTCAGCTCTGCAGGGCAGGCATGTAGTAGGCTGAGCTGACTTTTACCCAGCTCTGTAGAGAGTAATGGAAAGAGAGAGGAGCAGGTTATGAAGCATGTGATTATGACAATAGGTGGGTAAGATGCGGGCTGCGGGACTGAAAAGTTGGCAGTAACAATGGCTGCACATCCAATTCAGGTGGAAGAAGAGGTTGTCTGGAGCTAAGAAGAGGGATGTGCTGGAAATAGGAAAGACAGGATGCTTGCAATTGAGATCTTGAAAAGGGTGCAGTGCCAATATGAACAAGCCTAGGCCATTGCCCCAGGAAAGGGAGGCAGAGGTCAGATGGGGGACAGATCACTGCAGGAGAGGAGGGACCACAGAACCAGGAGGCTGTAGCACCAGAGGAGTCACTGAACCCTGACATCACCAGGGACTTCTCATGGATCTCCCTGAGGGCAGACTACACTCAGTGAGTCCAAGGACACCCATGTGGCTGGAGGGTAGAGGATTATGGAAGCCACAGTGGAAGAGGAGGTCTGGAAGGGAGCCAGGTCTTGAAGGACCTCATAGTCAAAGAAGCCAGTGGAGGTTTGGAGGAGGTAGTGATACGGTTTGGCCTGCTCACCCTGGGCCAGTTTTTTGGCCTCTTGGTCTCACAACTGTCCCATGTGAAAAAAGAACAATGAAATTGTACCTATCTCTCCAGACAGTTGGAAGAATTTGAGAAAATGGACAGCATCCAGCAAGTGCCTGGTGCCATGGTGGGAATTCTGCTCGTGATTGCTGAGTACCTGTCCATGTGAAGCCTCATGCAGAAGGCAGTGAGACTAGCAGTCACCCAGCTCTCCGTGACTTCCTAAGTGACTCGGGCCACTCCTTTCCACTCTCAGGACCTTAGTGTGTGAAGATGAGGCGTGGGAGGCAGAGGAGGCCAAGGCGACTGGCCGGTTTCCAAGGCACTGCCAGGTTCTGAGGCCAGCTCTGGGGCCCCATGTGGAAGGTGACACAGGCAGGTGTATTAACCATAACATAAGCACCAATGAGCACACACAGATAAGATGAGTCAAGGATCACTGGAGCTGGAGGTACCTGAGAATCCCTCTGGGAGGTGGAATTTGGTTGGGGTGGGCCTGGGTAGATCAGAGGGAAAAATAGGGGAGCAGCTAAAAAAGAGGGTGGGATAGTAATCTGGGGTTGTGCTGTCAGGCAACCATGGAAGTCTGCAAGGACTTTGATCTTGTCTATGTCCAATAAAGTAAGGGCACACAGAAGCCCTCTCTCAGAGCTCTACCCAATGCCTATGTAAGGGAAACACTGACAGCGGTCAGCCCCCCAGGTGTGTCACTGACATCCAACTTGCAGCCAGGCCAAGTGGTGGAAAGTCAAAGCAGGTATGACGAAGCCAGGTGCACTGAAACATTTTAAATAAAAACAAAATATAAGTAGGCACAAGGTCCTGAGTTCAATTCCCTTACTACAAAAAATAAATAAATAAAATAAAATGCAAAAAAGCATACAAAAGTACTTTCAAAACAGGTGTATGTCAGAGACAAGGAGGAGGGCATAAAGTTAATACCTGTGTGCACATCATATCTGTGTGTCAGACATAATGCCCCAGGAGCTACCCATATACTGTATTATTATTATTAATGCTCACTTCAAATCTGCAAAGGGTGACTCTGATTTTCTCTGTTTTAGAGATAAGGAGATTAAGGTAGCAAGTAACATGTGGAAGCTTACACTGTCACACTGAAAACTAGTAATAAATATTTGAACCTCCTCCCTGCAACTTCTCCATTCAAAAAGTTGTGTGGATGCCAGGCGTGGTAGCACATGCCTGTAATCCCAGCACTCGGGAGGCTGAGGCAGGAGGACTGTCAGTAGCTTAAGGGCAGCCTGGACTATATAGTGAGACCCTGCCTCAAAAAACCAAAATCAAAGCAAAACAAAATTGGGGTTGGGGGGTTGGGAGGCTCAACCCCAGACAAGTGCCCCTCGGCCCAACTTAACACTACATCACACGGAAACAGAACCCAACGCACACAGCCCTCAGGTACTTCTCATAGAATAAAGAAACAGATGATTCCTGGCACCCTCCTGCCCGTGACACCCCCGCCCCTTCCACCCAGGTCCCCATCACTGCCAAGGCAGTGTAAACATTTAAACATTTCCTGGGGTAAAACAAAAGGAGAATTTACAAATTTCTCTTGCAAAACATTAGTACTGCAGCGGGAACTCCCATTGTTGGTTAAAATGACTACCGGTTTGACTCTCAAGAACTTTTCCCAGTCCTTTCGGCTCTTGCGGAGGAAGTCCTCCCGCAGTGGTCCTGGTCAAATGATCCTGGAAGCCGGTGACCAAACTGGGGCTGCAGCCTACCTGCTGTGCCCAGAGCCAGGACCACTCAGCTCTGCCCTGGAGCCCCCGCCCCGGCAGGCCACTGCCCACCACTCCTGAGGGCAGAGGGTTCAGAAATGTGGGGGGCAGGGGGCCCAGCCAGGCTTTGCGGAAGTGCCCAGGGACAGTGACGGAAATGGCTCATGGGAAATGTAGTTCCCCTATCCTGGGAAAGTGGCGCTCTTGTAGGGCATCTCTGAAGCAGGCAGAAGGCTAGGAACACTACTGCCCCGGTGCCAGCAAAGCCCCAGATCGCCCCTCGCCCAGCACCGGAGCCACAGCCTGGGCTTTGGAGGGATGAACCATTACCTTTCTGCTGAGGAACTCCCTGACCAGGGAGGCGGCCACCTCCTCCACAAATAGGCTGTCCATGCTGCCGGCTCTGCCCACGAGGCCACCAGGGTCACAGCCCCAGGCCCCGCAGTCCGTTGGGCCCAGTATGGCCGTGTTGCCGTGGCGACGGTGGCATCTGAGCCAGTGAGAGCTCCTCCCCTTCCCTGGGAGCCGGCGGAATGGGAGGGAGAGAGGGAAGGGGAGGAGCATCCTTCACACACTGCTTCTCAGTGCGGAAGGCAGCCGTCAAGGGCAGCTAGGAGTCAGACCCCAGCTCTGGGCTCGGGGCTGACACTAGCCCTAGGACAAATCCCTACGGAAATCTGCTGGCCACAGGACAAGTTCCTGATGTAGTTTGAGTCTCCATTTCCCTAAACATGAGGTGGGAAGCGTGCCTGCCTTCTTGTTCGAGAGGACCACACTCACAGTGAAGTGGCCCCTACTGGTCCACCCACAGCAATGCAGCCCCTCCTGGGCTCACCGTCACCCACTGGCCTGGATGGCCTGGACTCTGTGGGGCCAGGAGGTCAGGACCCTGCTTCTGGAGTACTGAATTAAAGAACAAGTTCCTGTGCCCCTTGGCGACACCTTTCCAACAATGAGACTGCCATATTTTGAGCATCAAGAGATTTAATAATACATACAACCCTATCTTTAATACTTCTAGCTTCTTAGCATTGTAGTCATTATTGATCCTATTCTCTAAAAGCAGACACTGTGACTCAGAAAGGCAAAGATTTTGCTGGAAGCCACACAGTCAAGAACTAAAAAAGCTGAGATTCCAGCCAAGATCATGTCTTTACCTGGGGCCATGTCCTCAAACTCAGCCATTTAGGTACCACTTTCATGATCTCTGCCACATCTGAGTTTCACCTATTGTGTTAGTTTCCTAGGGTGTCTAAAACAACATACCACAGCAACAAACTTATGGCTGCACAGTTCTGGAGCCCAAAAGTCCAAGATCAACATGTCATGGGCGTTATTTCTTGGGGCCTCCGTCCTTTGCCTATAGATTGGCACCTTCTTCCTGTGTCTTCACAAGGGCTTTCATCTGTGTCTGTGTCTTAATACCCTCTCCTTATAAAGACACCAGTCATGTAGGATTAGACCTCACCATCATAACTTCATTTTAACTTAATCATCTCTTTAAAATGCCTGTTACCAAATATAGTCACATTCTGAGTACCTGGCATCAGGACTTCAGCATATTAATTTGGGGAACACAACACAGTCCACAACACCTACATTGTTACTTAACTATAATTTTCATTAAACTGACATCTATGTCTTAAAATTTCTTTTAAATAGAAAGGGTTCCCAAGCAATAATATCCACAAAACTGTAGATCTGGTGTGTTTGTTAAATCTCTAATATACATTAGATCATACAAAACCAGAAAGGAATGCATGCAACTAAAATCATCTCAGGTCCAGTGACACACATACCACATGTGGGAAACAATCAGACCATGCTGTACAGCTGCCCAAGGACATCACTGTTGCCTGATGGATTGCATTATGATTTCGGGGTGATCTCTCCCTCTGACCCACCACAGTTTCTGAGAAGGTGCCTTTAAGCACTCAATTTTCTGTAAGACCATGCACATGTGTTAGGTTGAGGATACAGAGCTGCAGGAGACCAACTGATCCTTATGCAGAGGACCCTGTGTTCCAGCTGCAAAGACACCAATGAATGTGTAGTAATTTTAAAAATGACACAGGACAGATTTATGCTGCAGTAACAGGTGGCATATCATACATAGTAGGTTTTACACAGTAAGTCAAAGGAAAGAAAGAGTCCCCTCCATGGAGGCAGATCAAAGTAAAATTGGGGCAAAGATAAAAAATTGATTCATTCATCTAGTCATTCATTTATTGATAAATATGTAGTAGGGCTTTCTGGATTTCAGGTGTGCAGGTACCGTGGATTTAACACTGTAAAATCTATACCTTCATGGAAGGAGAGACATGAAGGCAGTGGAAAAGGGGAGATACAGATAGAAACAAATTTTTTAAAACACACTGGCATTTAAAAACATGTTATAGATATTTAAAAACATATCATGGACTTAAAGAGAAAAAATACAAGAGTGTTAGTGAGTTTTTTGTGAAGATCAGAAATTACATTTTTTATAGTTCATCAGGTAAGATTACATAGACAGTAATATCCCAGCTAAAATCTGAAGAGAAGAGGTGGACCATGCAGAGTGTTATGGGTTTTATCTAGATGTCATCTCAAAGCCTCATGTGGTCATAGGGTGGGTTCTTCAGTGGTGGCTGAATGTAGGGTATGCGATGCTGAAATTAAGTATGTGATGCTGGGATCAAGAGTGCCCGACCCAGGGTGTGGGTAGTACCACCCAAAGGGCAGATAACCAGGATGAAATATAAATGCAGGTTTGGTTACTGTTGTTACTGTTTTGCTGCTTTGCTGCCTTCTTCTTGCCCATATCTGTTTCTCCTCTATGATGCCCCTCTGTCATGTCACCCTGCTAACGATGGTCTGAAACCTTTACAAACTGTGAGCTGAATAAACCTTTCCTCCTTTAACTTTGGATGTCAGATATTTTGTCTCAGCAATGAGAAAAGTGACTAAGATAGAATGTTGGAGGAAGAGCACCCCAGGAAGAGGGAATAGCCAATGCAGAGACCCTGAGATGGCACTAGCACCAGTGTTTGTGAAATAGGAAGGCTACAGGGGAGCAGTGAGACTGAGGAAACAAGGGGTCACTGATGGAGACCACTACAAAGCAGCCCTGAGCAGGACTTAAGTTAACCAATTGGCTTTCCATGTTTACTTGTGAGTCTGTTCAAAGCCTAGGCTCCTTGTCTGGTGATGGGCAGTGGACTCATAGTAAGTGAACCTCTGTGAGTCACTGGCCCCTACTGAGGCCTGTAAGGGTGGGTGAACTCATGAAGCCTCAAAGGACAAGACAAGGACACCTAGCTCCAACCTCAACTAGATAAAGACTGTAGCCTCAGGCATCTCACTCCTGGATGGAGATCTTCCCAGAGTTAGCAAAGCTCTCCTAGATCAATATAACGCCTTACTTGGAGAAGTCCTTCAGCAGTTCCTGCCCTTCTGTAGTATTCTCCTCTCTTGTTCTGATAACTAAATAAATACATGCCACTCAGAGAAGATATTGGTCTTAACCATGAGAGAATCTTGAATTCTGTGAGTGGGATTTGATCCTCCTGGAGCCCTGAAATCATTCCATTTGTCTTTTTTATTTAGCCTCCACTGTTCACTCATTTGGGAGATTGCAGACCTGATCAGTCCACAATAACTAAGGGATAATATTAACCTGATAGGCCACATGTGTAGACTAGTGGTCATCATCAGGACTCCAGCTTTTCCTCTGAACTGGGAATCCTTGGGAGAAGAGGAAACAAAAGGTCTAATTTAGGTTTGACAGGATACTTCTGGTTCTTGTGTTGAGAACAGTATATATATAGGGGCAAGTATGGAAACAGGGAGACCCATGAAAACAACTGCAACAATCAGTAGTCAAGGTGAAATTTAGGCTAGACATATTGAATGTGTTCATGTGTGTGTGCTTGCATGTGTGTGCACACATGTGTTACACTCTCCTCACTCTGAAACTTTTTACCACACTGGAATGAAATGGTTAAGAAAGAGGAACAGAAATGAGTTCTTCTTCCAAACACATAGCTGATCCTGGAGATATGATAACCTTAGTGTCAAGTAAAAAGGCTAATCTTGTCCATTTGGGAGAGGCAACAGGTATCCTTGCAGAAATCTGGGAAAACAAGATTATATCATATGTCCCCTTCTTTCCCACAGATTTCCTCCGAGTCATCTTGACTTCTCCACTGTTCTTGTATGCTGGAACATTCTCACCAAGCACTTTGAGACAGCCCTGTCTGAATGTGAATAGGAGGCGAAGTTCTCAGTGATGACCCCTTACAAATAACACAGTGGAGATGTGACAAGCAACAGTGTCATCAAAATAAGGACCCAGTCTTTATAAATATCTGTGTTAGTTATCTTTCCATCACTCTGTGAAAATACCTGAGATAAACAACTTATAAAGAAGAAAGGTTTATTTTGACTCATGATTTCAAGAAGTCAGTTCATGATCACTTGACCTTGTTGCTTTGTGGCATAGCTCGTAATGGCAGCAGCAGATGGCAGAGGAGGCCTATTCACCTCATAGAAGCCAGGAAGTAAAGAGAGAGGAACAGAGACTGGATCCCATTATCCCCTTCAAAGACAGCTCTCTTGTGACCTCACTTCCTTCCACTAGAACCCACCTCCTAAAGGTTCCCCCATCTCCCAGTGGTGCCACAGGCTGGTGACCAAGCCCTGAGCACATGAGCTGGGGGAGGGGAGGTTAAGATCAAAACCATAACAGTTACAGACAGCATAATATCTTGGTGTAAACTATTAAGAACTTAAACCATGCAATGACAATATGTTGGAAAATATAGGTTTGGCAAAATCTTATAAAAATAAAAGCAAGAAATTGAAGATGTTGTGATTCAGGACAGTAGTTCGCAGGAGAGAATCACACAATGAATGTGAGTAGTTGTCAGTGTTCAGAGTGTCATTAGGACATTTATTTGATAAACATTTGTTATGTGTTTCAAATACTTGTTATATTTCATAAGTATTTGCTATATTCATAAACATCTGTTATATTGTTCTATTTGTTATATTGTTATGCTATATTATTTTTATTGGTTCATTCATTAATAAAAGATGGCCATGGGGAAACCAATGATATAGCAGGATGTCATGAACCAAGGTACTTTATTAATTCTGTGCCCCTACAGTACAGGGGAAAGAGAGGGAAGAAAAAAAGGAACAGTCAGTGGACATCACGTTAGAAGAACAATTAGGGAACACAGCACCACTTTCAGAGTATAAATGTGTATGTGTGTGTATGTGTGTGTGTAATCATGGGTCAGTCCACCGGTGTGTCAGTGGGCCCCTGTGTGTGCATGAGTCTGTCAGCCAGGATTCATAGAGCCCCCCCCCTCCGTTCTATCTGTACTCTGTTGGTTCTGGCAGCAGAATCATCAGATCTGCCATGGGCCTTAAAAGAGGCCTGTAGCATGAGGACTGGGTGTTTTGTGACAACATGAGGAACAAGTGATGTCTCCTCTAGGAAGCTCTGCAGAGGGTACTGGAGAATGGATTTCCCCTCCACCCTGAAGTTCCTTGATGGCAGGACAGAGTTGAGTATTTACTGGGTTTGGGGTTGGTGGATTTATAGAGAATAGAAACAAATATGCTTGCCTCAACTGTGCCCTGTCCAGGGCCAGGGAGATAGGAACATGGAGATTACCAGATGGATCCTGTCTGGGCCAGCTGTGTTGGAAGGACATTGTGAAAGCCTTTCTAACGACTTGATCTCAAAATTTTCCCAGCTGTCTGGCCACTGTCCTGAGAGGTTAGAACAAGGGG